TCATTAATTGATATATTTGACGCATTGATTGGAAAGCTCAAGTAAGACTGTGAGTCACTGTATGCTGGTCGCTTTCATTGGGGGGAGGACTGTGGGAGGCTGTGAACAGAGTGACTGAATGCATGATAAAAAGCGACGGTCGAGCGCTTAGTCTCGAATTAGATTTTTGAAGCAGACTCATATTGCCATCATGTTTTTTATGGGATTTATATGGGGCGGCAAACGAGTAGATGGATCACCTGATGGTAAGCAAACGAAAAAGATTAACAAGTGCGTAACTGGCCATTAAGGAGAGGAGGAACCATCAAACGGTGACATCCGGTGACCGCTCACCACTAACTACATTATAGACCTTATTTCCAATGATTAGAGATTACTTTTGTATGAACAAATTTAGGGGATGATTTTCAACAGGTTAACACGCAAACGAATTATTGTGGGCATACAATAATTCAGAGCTCTTGTAGAATGTTTCTTTTTTTTAACGTAGGAGTTTCTCCTAGGATCTCCTCCTCCTCCACACTAGGATTTTCTCCTGTATCGTGGGTGCATGCTATAAGTTCACATACACATGACACCCTGACCCCTAAAGGGTTACCGGGGCTCCGGCTCGACGTGCATGAGAGGGAACGGGGTGGTTTTTAGTCAGTAAGAGTCTGACACTCCCTCGCGCCTCACCCGGGCGGGAGCAGTCACTCGATGATTTTCCCCCCTTAAATGAAAAGGCCCGTAACAACAATTTGTGGATCACAGTTTACACAAAGATTTCCTCCGTGCGGGAATCAAACCCGCTACACGTTGCGCGACCACTGGCTGCCCCACAACGTGTAGCGGGTAGGTGTCCGTCGTAGAAATTGTCAGTCATACCCTGGGCACGGGCCCCGAGTGCCCTTATGGTAAAGACGGTACTGAATGCAGGCGTTGTTTGACGCCAGGTTTCTGAGAGACCGTGGTAACAATCTGGTTGAGCCCGAATACTACTGACTGCAATCAGAAATTTATTGTTATACCATAGAATGGTATACTATGGAAAAATATCAACTACAGTTAGGTGGGTAGATATCTACCTTGGCTGGTAAAACCTGTTATCAAATTAATTCACTGAAATATAGCATATTTCAGTAAAAAATCTACCAAGGCTCGCACAATTCATATTTTTCAAGGCACTCTATAAGCCAGCCGACAGGCAACGCTTTCAAATGCTGCATATTATACATCGGTTCATACATATCTTTAAATATAATATAATGTGAACAATACACCAACTTGCCATCTTTCTTCGCATGGTACGGCACTAATTTCTCATTCTCCGGTATCAATTCTGGGTTTGGAACCCTTCTAAGCACTATGCCACCAGCGTCCGTAATCAACTTCGTCAAAATAGCTTTAGTTAAGACTACTGTCTTAGATATCTCATACTTCGTATTGAAATTATGCAGATAAAAATGGCACCCATTAAAAATGCCTGGTAATTGCTTATATTTTATGATTCGGGAGTTTCGTGGACCGTTATATGTTGTTGTTCCTACACCTTTTACTTCATAGTTTTCCAATGGTTCCAAGTTATCTTCAGTAGACTTCGTTGTCCATTCAGATGAAATAACCCATATATGGTTAACTATAGCTTGAAGAACGTCCAAACTGGACACGCATATGCCATCTTCAGCATCAACGATGAGATGGGTAACCTTTTTAGTGAATTTTGCTTCAATGTTGAGATTACTATGATGTTTAGCTAAGAGTTTAAGTCTATTGTGTACTGTGCGGTATGAAGAAACGCAGTAAATGCGGATATCGTCAGATTCTATCTCTGAATACAATGCAGCGATATGAGAAATATTTATACTTTGTGTCTGTAGTATATTTTCTCCCGCAGCCAGGAGCCTATTCTTCAGATCTACAGATGCAAGTTGGTATGGAGTTTCTCCTTTACAATTCTTAGCGTGCATGTCAGCACCATGTTTCACCAACTCCTCGGCAATTTCAATGTGGTTGTACCTTACTGCCTCGTGTAACGGAGTCTCATTGCCTTGTCCAGGCACATCAATTAAAGTATTATACTGTAGAAGTAGTAACACAAGGTCCAGTCGCCCGTTTTGTACGACTTCATGCAACGGAGTCCATCCAGCATTGTCCTTAGTATTAGTATTAGCGCCTAAAGTCAATAGTTCCTTAATTCGGTCAATTTTACCGAGTCTACAAGAAATATGGAGAGCTGTCTCTCCTTTATTGTTGCGTTTTTCATTGTTTTTATTGAATTTTGAACTCATATTTGAATTTAAAGTCTCACTCAGGTCTTGGCGAGAGTTCGTCTTGTCAGATAAGGGTTTTTTAGAGCTAGATACAGTACTAGCAACCTTAGTTGGCGCGGCAACAGCGTCATTTTTCTTTGTTTTCTTACCCGAAGTCACACTCACTTCCTTAGGCCGGAAACTCTCGAACATCTTATTCAGTTCGACTGCAGAGTCGATACATCCCTGGACACGGTCGTCGACAAACGTTTCACAGTCATCAAGAGGTATTTTGCAAGTTGGACATAGTTTTAAGTTGGTATGAACGGCACATATTAAATGAAAACATTTCTTCAATACCACAGGGTCTTTACACAATTCGTTGCACACACCGCATACATAATCACTGTTTACAGCATCTAAAGCCTTTAGAAACTTGTTTAAGTTTGTAGTATTCATTTTTTTAGAAAAAGCTCTATTTGTTTTTCTAGTCGCGAAGTTTTCATGCCGCGGGAAAGAATTATTTGTAACGTTTTTGACATTGACATTTGTTTACTGACAGCTAAAAGCTTTTGCCCGCTGGTATTCTCGTCGGTTCGACGCTTTAAAGGCAAAAATACATTACCGTGGCGCGGTGCGTATGCCAAAATTCAAAATCATTCGTCAATCAATCGTCAAAAATTCAAATTCAAAATCATAGATATATAACAAAAATTCAAATAACAATGTTTTATGGTGCTGGTCCTGGATCACAAAACCTATAATATCTAGTGTTAGAGAGAGTAGCTCTGCAGTCCTGAATAATATATCCTGCTATAGCTACTAATATCGTTTTCTTCGCAGATCGGGATCGGTCTACTCGCGTCTCGCCCCTCACAACCCCCCACGATTGCCCTATCTAGATGTCTTCGTTGGACGACTGTATAAAAAAAAATATTAAAAAATATAGAACACATTTACAATTACAGATCGCTCAGATTTTATAGTAATAAAAAAGTCTTAATAATAACACTCGTAATAGTTTACTTAATCTAATCTTATAGTAATATATATGCGAGGAAATACCGTTCTAAGTATATATAGGGAGGGACTACCCGAACTAGGTTTATTTAAACCTGTATTTCAGGCTATCAGACCAGGCAAGGACAATCTGTCCTAAATTATAAAAAAATAGTACAATACTAGTTAATATGTAGGTAATTTACTATAAAGAAGCATTTTATTTAACACTTCTAGTAATTTTTCCGTTTCTGAGTAATTGAGGGACTGTAAATATTCTGTAAGTATTAGATTACACTTATATTAACTTACACTATAAACTTTTAGCAGCCTGTTGAGGTTGTTATATAAATATGGTCCTAAAAATAAATTAAATCTGTTAGTAAAAGCATGTTTCGTCTGAGGGTTAATGCCAAGGCCAACTAAATCCTTTCTTCTCTTGTCGTAAGATACCGGGCTAAAACCAATTTCTGTGTGCTGCAGTAGTACTACGTTAAGGATGAATAACTGGCGTTCCTACTGTTAGTAATTTGCATTCCCTGTATAGCTGTTGAGTAGGAAACCTGAAGGGCGAAAGGTGGCGACCTTCAGAATTGCTCTTTGGGCACGTTCTAAGGGCAAGAGAATTAAAGTTTTTAGAGCACCACCCCATGAGTTAATACAGTAGATAAGAATGGATTGACATAAAGCCATATATACCTGGCGGATTAAGGCAAAGTCCGCAATGTTGCGCAAGTATTTGAAGACATATATTAATTTTCGTACTCTAGTGCATAATGTATCAATATGTTTTCGGAAATTGAGATTAGCATCAATAGTGACACCTAGATATTTTATAGTCAGTTTTTACCAATGTAGGGCAAGCGCATGCTGTGTCAGCAGTCGTGCTCGTATGACAATTATGTACATAAATGTTAAGGTTATTAGTCGATATGTGAGTATTTCTCATTGAAAATAACATGTAATTTGTCATGTTATGAATATAATTAATATAATTATGAATCCAATGTTATGAGATTATTATGAAGCCAATTAAAACCATTTTGGGCAAATTCATAAACCTCATCATTTGATTTACCTGTGAACACCAGAGCTGTGTCATCAGCATATGACATAATAACACCATTTTGGAGGGTCAAGCTGCATGTCATTGATATATATTAGGAATAAGGTAGGACCTAATATACTACCCTGAGGAATCCATAACTACTGTTTTTTAGTTCAGAACTTCTATGAATGTATAGACAGTGATACTATATAATTATGTATAGTCAGTCTGTTACCTTTGAGTTATATATATTTAGATGGTCTGCTTAACCTCCTAGGAATGTGGATGTCTTTAGCAATAACATCCTTGGCAATAGGCGTAATAAACGCTTAGTGATCTCATAACATATCTAGAAACTAGATAATACATGCAATCAAGGACGTTGAAAAATGGCGGACACAGTCTTCTGAAACAACGACTGTGGCACCAGGCTACTAACTATAGACTTACACGCAGAACATACACATATTGACACGAAGGACATCTGTCATTTTCTTAAGTCTGGTAATGTGGTTACATTACACACACTCACATATAACTCACTAACATTTCGGTGCGTCAATCATTTCTAAGTGACAAATTTTACCTTTTTCAACATCCATAAAGTATTTAACCAAATTAAAATGGACGAATATAAATGAAAGAACAAAGAAAAATATAAAAATCATTTATTTACATTTATTTACTTATATCACGAAGCCTTTTGTTAATTACAAATTATGTTAACTATTAATTAAAAATACGACTAGAGTTACAAGCAACATAACCAAAGATGGCGTCGTTTTGGCGCCAAATCCGCAAGTGAAATCTGTCACATTTGACATCGCTAATTCGAAATTGTATGGAATTTTATTGTACGGATGAGTCGATAAAACATTAATTGTGGCCAAACTCTTAGTATTTGAATGGAAAATCACTTCCATTTCGTGGTTAAAAGAGCCATACATGGAAAACATAGCGTTATGGAAAGGCGGATGTTTGCCAAACAGTTGGTCCAACTTTGTGAAAACGTTGATGATCTCGTGTCTCCGAATGTTGGTGAGATTGTTGGCGACAAATATGTGGCCCAAGTTTGACCAGCTGACGAAGCAGAATTTTTGGTTTCCTTCCGGACAGAGGGGGACGATTTTCTTTATATTCTCTGATGTTCCATTGGTTTCTGTAATAACAAAAGAATTGATGAAACACTGTGGTAAGTATTAACTTCGGTTGCCCGGAATTTTAAATGCTGTCTTAATTTTCATTACTTGATTTACAATAATTGCATCGCAATAGGGGAATCTAGCAATTATCATATGTGTCATGTAATAGTGACTGGGTGAGCTTATTGCCATATACCGGGCACAATTCCAGACTCCGTGCTATTACCTACTGAGAATTTTTAAAAAACCCAGTAATACTTTGCCCGACGCACTGGTAGTCGCACTTGCGACTACTCGGCCAACTAAGCAGTCAGGCAGGCCTTTATACACTAGACTTTACTTTACATTAATGACCTTTATCAACAGAGAACATCTCCTCTAACTCCACTTTTATACCCCACACTGGGATGTTCTCCTGTGTCGTGGGTGCGTTTACAAACATACAAGTTCACATACACATCACACCCAGACCCGAAACAACAATTTGTGGATCACACAAAGAGTTGTCCCGTGCGGGTATTGCACCCGGTACATATCGCGGGTCAGCCAGTTGCCAGTGCAGTCAAATATACGCTTAGCAAGCGAATTGGAGATGAAATAAAAAATAAACTCACCTTTAAAACTATTAAAAGCCTTCATACTAATAAAAGCAACGTCACTGTCGCCATCTACTAGAGATTTAAGCGCCTCTGTTTCACCAGCTTCATAGCACTTCTTCCCATCCATGCCAGGAGCGCATATTTCTTTAAAATACCCCTCCACATAGTCTTTACAAGACATTTTTTCATGTTTGGTTATATAGTCTTTGACAGAATGCCAAGCGGCGCCATCATAGCGCGGGAAAGCGGCCCGTTTCCCGCGCAAGTCCGCCATTTTGGTTATTTTTGCGTCCGCGTTGATGTAGGCTACTATTGAACCTGTTTTCTCCACTATTGGTGTTATTTCGTGCAGGATCGGTGTTAGGGCGTAGTCTCTGGAAATAAGAAAATTGTAGAATTACAGTTTGAACCTTTTCATCATCTGGCTTTATTTATGTTGCGGGAACAAGATATTTTTTGCTTCGAAATCTGTACCTCCTATAAAACCTATTGGTCCCTTCAGGGGCGTAGCTAGCGCCGTATCTGCCGTATCAATATTATACTGGGTCCCCGTAAGCCAAACTTAAAAACTTCCCAGTAATTACAAAAGTCAAAATAAACAATATTTTTCTTATAATAACTATCGTGAGATATACTAAATTTACTAAAAATTGCGGGTTGCTCACACTGTGTGTGTGAAAATAAAAAGTATTTTCTTTCTTAGAAGATGTTTTTTTTTGTTTTTGAGATTTGCTATCAGACATGGCCAGTCTCAATCCGTTGTTTTGCCTACTAGTCAGGATTTTACTTATAAACACAGTTCAGCCGTGCGTGGCGTAAGATGAAAAAAATAATAAGTGATTATCCCCACCAATCCTCAAATTCCTAATCCCCAAAAGGCCGGCAACGCACTTGTAACGCCTACGATGTTCCGAGTATCCATGGGCGACGCCAATTGCTTACCATCAGGTGATCCGTCTGCTCGTTTACTGGCTTATCCCATATAACAATGTGGTCTGTTTGATCATTTACCTAAAATAAAAAATTAAAAGTGTAACAAACCTCATCCCCGCCACCAGCCAGTCACTATCAGCGGCAGTAGCATCACATTCTCTATCAGAGACTGCCTTCAGACACTCCTCGATAGAATTCCTCATGATGCACTGGAGGGGCGGCGCTATGCCGTACACTGCGCCCGCCTCGCTTAGCCATTCGCATTTGTTCTTAGCTAGGAGAGAGGTCGTGCAGAAGGTTATGTGTCTGGAAAAAGGAAAGGTTCATTATAAACACTTAAGTCAAAAGTAAAATCATTTATTTCAATTAGACCAGAAAGGCACTTTTGAACGTCAACATAAAAATTAAAAGTGAAACTATTTGCTCATTCCAAGGTGTAGATTCCTATGGAGAAGAACGAGCAAGAAACTCCATAGGTTACTCTTTTTAATCAGGTTTACAATACAATTCTCTAGTTACATAGTTTTGTTGTTTGGATTGTGCGAGAACAATGTAACACTAAAATACAGTCAAAGAGATCGAAAAAAAAATAATCTTAAAGGACAGTAAAAAAAATACAGTCAGAGCTGACCAGTCTCATTTGACGGCGCCCGTTTACGAACATGACACGTACACCAGCACCGCCGAACTCAACCATATTGTAGGGAATCGAGCGATCCAATGCACGTGCTACCGCCAATGAGACCTTTGAGTGAGCATGACAACTCCAAGCTGACACAAACGTATTCTACTATATAGTGTAATTTAATATTTAGTAGCCTTAGCAACCCACTGCTTCCCAACCTGACACGGTTTGGATTCCTGCACGTATCATCTGATGCGCATGTGACAGTATTTGTTTGTTAAGAGTGTGGAACGTAATATAGAATCATTGTACGACACTACTGGATGCTATTCTCACAAAGTACGTTTCGCCGAATATTTCATTGGTAGAAAATATTTTTCTTAGATATCTTGTTCCATAGAAAGCACTAGCCATAGAAATCTCTATTCCTAGACAGCTCGTTTTGCCAAAAACTTTGTTAGTAGAAAATACTATTCGTAGATATCTCGTTCCATAGAAAGCACTGTTCATAGATAATACTGTTCAAACGCATCAAACAGGAGGAAATAGAATACTTATTGCTAAACTGTCTAAATTCTCATAATCAGATAAAATCTTTCATCTTGCAGCACAATCTAGAAGAATTCAAGGATAGGTTGAAAAACCACTGAAAAATTTAATGTAATTATTAATCAAACACTTTGGAATCTATTCCCGAAGTTACCAATTGCAAAAGCTCGTTCTAATTTGTCCAGTTTCTATAAAAAGCTACACAGGTTTTCTACCGATAAATTTGGATGCGGGGGAATTCCACAACTTGATTCCCCCTAGTCCTTTCCATCATCGTACCACATGACAATCGATGAAGCGTCACGGTTCATGGTAAATGTCACACGCACGAAGCGCTAGGTATCAAGCTTCCTTGTGCGTACTGCTAAGGAGTGGAATTCTTTGCCAGAGTCTGTGTTTCCTGAGGGTATAACCTGAGTGTCTTCAAGGCACGAGTGAGTAGGTTGCTTATGGGACGACGTGCTCCATCGTAGACCGCATCATCGCTTACCACCATATACCGCGAGATAGTGATCAAAAAACACATTTCAAAACGGATTCCCAAAAAACAACTCCCTAAAATTGTACATCTCCTCACCTGGGTGGGTCACAACCAGCCTGACTGTACGCCTCTCTGAACCCGTCAGCCTGAGCCAAATAGTCCATAGGAGCCCTGGGAGGATGGAGAGGCTCCGGCAACGCCTGGTTACTCTCCAGTAATGCTGAGAGAGCTCCCCTCCAGTGTCGATCTACTACCACCGAGCTATTGGTCAAAGACTGGGTCAATCGGCTCACTGCTTCTGATGCCTTCCTGGAATAAAAAAATGGAGAATTTTAGATATATAACATGACATCACGTCTTTAAATCCCCGAAGGGGTAGGCAAAGGTGCACATAATACGGCACTTATACCACTGTACAATGTAACACTCACTTTTCACTATTTATGTTACGAGTCGCATGTAGAAGGGGGTGAGCCTATTGCCATATACCGGGCACAATTCCAGACTCCGTGCTACTACTGAGAATGTTTTAAAAACCCAGTAAAACTTTGCCTGACCTAGGAATCGAACCTGAGAGACCCCTTGCCCGGCAGTCGCACTAGCGACCTCTCGGGCAATAAGACAAGCTTGAGAGGAAAAATTCATCCAATGACTTCTCCCGTCAAGGTCAGGCGAGAGAGAGTGTCAGTGACCGGGGTGATACCACGGCCGACCAAAAAACCGACGTGAAACAACACTTGTGTTGTGTTTCGTCGTGTGTTTATAGTACCCAATTATCCCCCTCCCAAATCTCCCCAATCTCCCCAAATCCCCAATAATGCTCAAATTCCTAATCCCAAAAGGCCGGTAACGCACTTGTAACACCTCTGGTATCGGTATCGGGCGACGCCGATTGCTTACCATCAGGTGATCCATCTGCTCGTTTACCGACTTATTTCATAAAAAAGGACCGATCAAAAACGCGCGGACGTATTTTTTTTTTTTTTTTAAGGGGCGAAAATCATCGAATGACTGCTCCTGTCTAGGTGAGGCGGGAGGGAGTGTCAGACTCTTACTGACTAAAAACCACCCCGTTCCTTCTCCTGCACGTCGAGCCGGAACCCCGGTTACCCGTTAGGTTGGTTCTCCGCGACAAGTGTATAGAAAAGATGATGGGTACCTTTTAGCAACGATAACATTCCATGGCTTCCTCAGCCATATGCAGGGTTCCTCCGTCAGGTCTTTCCACGTGCCGTTACGACAGAGGTACGCGAAGTTTTCAGAACCGGTCAGCGGTTCATCTTCTCGGATCTGAAAGAGAGGAATGTAAGTTTGTGGTGTTATTTTTTATAGCCTTCAAAAAGAAGGACGTTGTCTGTTTGTCTTATATGTTTGTGCGCGTTTATCTCGTTTGGCCGAACTGATTTTGATGTGGTTTCAGAAAAGTGTTTATACTTGGGAGAAGGTTTCATTATATTATTTAATCGACTTTAAATAAAGAGGCGGTTAACCCTTTGAGTATCGTCGGCGTCATTAAAGACACAATTAAAGAACAATAGGTTGCGGTCACCGGTGTCCTCGCGGTGTTTGACAGTTTAAAGTCGGTTTTATTAAACGTAACATTACATTACATAACATCACGCCTTTTATCCCCGAAGGGGTAGGCAGAGGTGCACATTATGAAAAGTGGGTGTTACATTGTACAATGGCATTTAAACGTAAGTAGTTTATAAAAGAATTATTCTTCGGTTTAAATCATTAGACACGTAATTTTTATTTTCTTACTGAAACGAATACTTTCGACGATATATTGATTTGAAATGTCGCGTGACGTCACTTCTATGTACCTACATTTTATACGTAGAAATGACGTTTTAGCCCCCACTTCTAAACTTTGATTCGTTTTATCTAAGTATTGTCTCATTATACGACAAAATAAAAACGTGTCTAATATTATTTCATTACCTAACTTACGGACTAATTAGATTTTTTATTTTCATACCCTGTCATCATCCTAATTTAAGCTATCTATTCACTTAGGCCTTGAAGACCTCCAGGTACCCTTCAGGAAATATACTCTGTCAAGTGTTTCACTCTTTTCAGCAGCTTACCTTAAAATAAGACTTGACATCGTCAGCCTCGCCCCACGTGACGTCACCAGCGCCATCTGTGAGGCAGGTGAGTGCTCCAGAGTTCCCCCAGTAGATGTCGCCTGCCATGCAGGTTTTAGCACACGCAGCGCATAATGACGGGTATTGGCGTTCTGGGAACAGAAATTAAAGTTAAAATTCGCAATTCATAGTTTGTGTGGTTACCGGACTTAGGTAATGAGTCTAGACTCGGGTCTTAGGTGTGATTCCCTGGTCGAGCAAAGTATGATTCAGGTTTCTTCAGTTCTTACAGACACCAGATGAGTTTCACAGTACTGCCTTTTTGAGGGTTAGAGATTTGGGGATTGGGGATTTCGGGATAGTAGGTATATGAGGGGCCTAACAGTCTCGTCGGCCGAGTGGTCGCAAGTGCGACTGCCGGACACGGGTCTAGAGTTCGATTCCCGAATCGGGCAAAGTAATACTGGGTTTTTAAAATAACTCTCGGTAGTAGCACGGAGTATGGAATTGTGCACATGGAACTCTTAAAATAAATAGTAAAAAATGGGTGTTACATTGTACAGTGGCATTAAGTGGCGTGTTGTCACCTCTACTAACCTTGATGGTTATGACTACAATCGACTAGTATCGAAACAAAGAAGAATTACGTAAATTGGATCACGAATCTTGACGTTTGTGAAAGATATACGTGAGAATACTGAAAGGCTAATTAAATTTGAAGTTGTACTTAACCTTTAACGTCACGGGCGGGGTCTCAACAGACCCCACGTGCTCTTTTTTAACTGTATTTTTTCAAATTGACAAGCTACGATCGCACCATTTTGGCTAATCTCAGTGCGCCGCCGACGCTCTCGATGGGTGGACTTACGTGGCGTTGCCGCTAAGGTAAGTACATTTTTTACTCATGCAGGGATACCTGTGGACCCCACCCGTGATTATACGTAGTAACTTTTTTCACTTTGCCAATTTTTCAATTTGTTGTTTTTTCAGAATTACTGTTGAAAACTGCAAAAATGAGTCGCCAAATATCAGAGGACGCCAATTTGACCAAAGATATTAGTGCTATAATATACAAATTGATCGACAAAGAAGAGCCTTTGCCTAGTTCAGATGAGGCTGGTCCTAGTGCTTCAACAAGGTCTAAGGATAAAAAGAGCACTATTGTTTGTAGATCATCCAAAAAAACTATTTGTAAGCTTCATTCAGTAGCAATTACGTACTTATTGTTTACCATGCCAACCAAAATAATTATTTTTTACTTTAGCGCCCGACAGTAATATTGAGGGGTTGTGATTTTTTGTATGAGTATGATTATTGTTTAGTTTTCCTTAGATTACGTTTCTTTGTTTCCTATTTTATTAGAAAGTAAGAATATATTAGTCAAAAGTTGATAATTAAAAAAAAAATAAAAACATTAGTTAAGTGCCTTAAAAAATTGCTATGTACAAGATGTTATTTCGTTAAATGTTTTTTCACTATATAAAGACTGATTGTTTTGCTAATAATAAAAACTTTTTATATGTATTAATATGTCTTTTCTTTTAATCTAAATTAATATTTAAGAATTTTTCAAAAATACGCAGCATAAATGTAAAATACTTATGGGGATACTTCCGGACCCCACGCGTGACGAAACGTTACCAAAAACAACGCGTGTACTTAAAGGTTAAATATGCCATCTCAATCATGCCATCTCTGTCATCGTAGAAAGAATTTGTAGTGACGACAGTTTTTTTATGGGATAAGCCGGTAAATAAGCAGACGGAAAACCTGATGGGAAGCAATCGGCGTCGCCTATGGACACCTGCAACTCCAGAGGTATTACAAGTGCGTTACCGGCCTTTTGGGGATTAGGAATTTGAGGATTCGGAGATTGGGGAGATTGGGGAGGAGGGAGGTAATTGGGCCTCCGATGACCTCACTTACACGATGAAACACAACGCAAGCATTGTTTCACGTCGGTTTTCTGCTCGGCCGTGGTATCACTCCGGTCGAGCCGGCCCATTCGTGCCGAAGCATGGTTCAAACGCACTTTAAGAGGCTTATGCCGGAATACTGAAACGTTACTCAATTTTAAGTCGTGCTCAAATATCGTGCCATCTCTGTCATTTTATAAAGAATTTGTGGAGACAGAACTATACTTAAGCACGACTTAAAATTGAGTAGCGTTTCAGTATTCCGACATTATGTAGAAGCTCTTACAGTCTCAGCTCTCTCCAACAGTAGAGTTTTACAGACTCCTAATTATAAAGATCTAAGACTGATCGGTACTTACTTAGTTCAGCATCTCTCGTCCTGTCTGGCACCCAGGGTCCAGCCTTACACGCCTTCCCGTAGAAGTCGGCCAGAGCCTTCAGCCTATTTTCAGTGTGAGACCGGGTGGGGTCACAGGATCTCTCTAGCACTAGGGTTTCTAGATACTGGAAACGAAAAAGAATAGAATAGAACATAAAATAACATCACGCCTTTTACCCCGAAGCGAAGGGGTAGGTCGTTTTCTGTCTTTTAGGAATTAAGGATTGAAAATAACCTGTGCTTACTCTTGAAACCGATCTCAATGTCTATGCAATTTCAATCCAATATATGAAATCTCAATAATTATTCAATGTCCTAACTATACAATAGAGTACGGAATATAATTATAAGGCCAAACTCAATATCATTTAGTTCAATCAATATCCACGCAATACGGATGCTATGGGCGCTAGTGTTACAACTCAAGAGTACGAAATTTCACAACACCAATGTGGAACGATCGGAATTGGATACAAGAGTAAGTTCATACATACCGCAGATAAGGTCTCGCTAAGAGGTCGGAGGTAATCCATTGACTCTCCAGGGTGGCAGAGCGTGGTGTTCCTCAGAACTGCATGTAGAGTGGATGACTCAGTAGGTAGGATGCGTCGGTTGACTACGGCTACTATATTGCGGGCGAATGGTCCTGGAAGGAAAGGAGATTTCGGTTAGGTCTTCTGTTTTTGAGTTCGGTACACTTCATGTAAGATAACATCACGCCTTTTTATCCCCGAATGGGGAGCAGATGTGCAAATTATGGCACTTAATGCCACTGTACAATGTACCACCCACTTTTCACTATTTATGTTATGAGTCCCATGTTATAGGTTTTTCTTTTGAGGGTGGAAAATCATCCAATGGCTTCTCCCAGTCCAGGTGAGGCGAGAGCGAGTGTCAGACTCTTACTGACTAAAAACCACCCTGTTCCTACTCCTGCACTTTGAACCGGAGCCCCGACAACCCGTTAAGCCCTCCGCAGCTCCGTGTCGGCATCAGCCCTATTGGGCCCCATCTGTACTGTAGTGGTTTTATGGCTCCTTGTGGCGCGTGTGGAACGCGACGCACCGTATGCTCGGGAGAGGTGCACATTACGGCACTTAATGCCACTTGACTGTACAATGTAACCATTCCCCCCCCCATCCCTTCTCTGACACTTAAATCTCAACCTAAAAGACTGGCAACACACTTGCAAATCCTCTAGTGTTGCGGGTGTCCAGAACCGGCGTCGATTACTTAATAATCACCAGTTGACAGAAAAGCTCATTTGGCGCCCTATCCAAAAAAAATATGCATCGCTATCGACCTTCTGGTGGAGTTAAATACGCAAGTTATTCAACAAATTACTTACTCGATCTCAGTCTCAGCTCGTTGGTAACCAAGACATCGATGTTGGCCCACTGCGCCGCCACTAGGTCCTCGGGGCTGAATACACCAAAGTCCACAGTTCCCTTGCTGATACGACGGAGACAGTCCAGTCTGAAACAAATGAAATTAATCGAGTTGGCCGCCTCATTGACTGCCTCATTGGCCGAGTGGTCGCAAGTGCGACTTCCGGGCAAGGGGTCTCGGGTTCAATTCCCGGGTCGGGCAAAGTAGGATTATCTTCTGTGTCGTGGGTGCGTTTACAAACATACAAGTTCACATACACATGACACCCAGACCCGAAACAACAATTTGTGGATTACACAAAGTGTTGTTCCGTGCGGGAATCGAACCCGCGACACGTTGCATGGCAGCCGGTTGCCCAGCCACCGCACCAACCGTGCAGTCAAATACTATTACTGAGTTTTAAAAAAATCGCAGCAATAGCACGGAGTCTGGAATTGTACCCGGCATATGGCAATAGGCTCACCCCCTATTACATGGGACTTATAACATAAATAGTGAAAAGTGGGTGTTACATTGTACATCGACATAATGTGCACCTCTGCCTATCCCATCGAGGATAGAAGGCGTGATGTTATGTTATGTAATCGAGTTGATGACGTAATTTTGACCTAACCACTCGGGCCTTAAATAAGGTCGCTTATGGGCAGGCATGCTTTATCGTAGGCCGCATCATCGCCTACCACTAGGCGAGATAAAAATAGAATAGAAGTTACCTGTCGGTTCCCAAAACGCACTCAACCCCAGCGTTCTCCTTGTCCAGTATGGGGCAGTGCGTGGGCGCTCGCTTGTACAGTCCTCGACCTTCCACTATGCAGAGACGCACTGCAAAAGAGAGAAAGAAATAGATTAATATTAAGTATGTACTCAAAAATACCTATAAACTTCGTAAAAAAAATCGACATCAATCTCCTGTTTTTAAAGTCGCTTAATTTTCAGTCACTTTTCCGAAAACATAACATCACGCCTTTTATCCCTGAAAGGGTACGCAAAGGTGCACAATACGGCACTTAATGGCACTGTACAATGTCCATAGTCCATTTTTCACTATTTATGTTATGAGTCCCATGTAATATGGGGTGAACCTATTGCCATATACCCGGCACATTTTCATACTCCGTGCTATTACTGAGTTTTTTTAAAAAACCCATTAATTGCCCGACCCGAGACTACCATTTTGGTGCTTCAATCATTTCTAACTTAAATTATGTAAACTTCCCATTTCGTAAACCTCAAACTGTACCTACTAAAAAGTTGCGTTTGGTAAACATTATACATTTCATATATTTAGTCCCATTTCGAAAACATTTCAATATTCTTTTGTGTTATATCCCATTTGGTAAACTTTCAGATGAAATGGGTACAGTCAAGTAAAAAAAGAAAAACGAAACTAATGATAACATTGTCAATTATTTTGTTAAATATTTTTAATCACAGGTACAATAGTCGGATTATGTGTACGTATGCCATTTACATGTCTTTGACCGTAAAAATAACAAATGAAAGATGAACTATTAATCATTAAGATTCAAATGGCTCCTAAGCCCTCAACAATAATAAGTTAACCAAAATTATTGCACAATATTTCTACTTAAAAACAATACAAAACAATAACGATATGACCTTGACATACAAAAGAACATAACAATAATTACTAAGACAGATACAGAACCTCCTAAATCAGCAAACTCGGTTAAAGGAAGATTGATTATGACGTATGATAATGGTTAGTTTCAAAATAAAATGACGTGTCAAACAACACACACACATACATACATCAACAGCCTATTGGCTATGTGCGCGACAGTGGCGACGCGTAGCGTTTACAACATTTGCGGAAGCTGTCAAATAATAACAATGTAAACATTATAATTTTCTTTGCAAATATAAATAAAACCAAAAATTAAAATAGTATTGTTGACATTATTTAAGTGCAATTTATTCAATAGTTTTACTGTAAAATGAATATAATAATAAAAACCGGGTTTGCATCATCCGCATTTGTTTCCAATTTCTGCCGTGTTGTGCGCTTTTTAAGGGGGTAAAATCATCGAATTACTGCACCCGTCTGGGTGAGGCGGGAGGGAGTGTCAGACTCTTACTGACTAAAAACCACCCCGTTCCTTCTCCTGCACGTCGAGCCGGAGCCCCGGTTACCCGTTAGGTTCTTCGCGACAAGGTTTGAGCATTAATCGCCACGGAGCATACTACCTCTACAATTCAAGAATAGGGTAGATGCCTAATTTTTATTTTAATGTCCGTCTGGTAGATTATTTTAAACATTACACAGGTATTTTAATTTTCTTACAGAAACGAATACTTTCAACAATATATTGATTTGAAATGTCGCGTGACGTCACTTCTATGTACATTTTATACGTAGAAATGACGTTTTAGCCCCCACTCCTAAACTTTGATCCGTTTTATCTAAGTATTGTTTTATTATACGACAAAATAAAAAAATACGTGTCTAATATTTTTTCATTACCTAACTTACGGACTAATTAGATTTTTAATTTTCATACCCTGTTATCATCCCAACTGTAGTTTGCTTTTTTTTGAGTAATTGATGTTTTTTTAACTGCCTCGTTGGTCGAGTGGGCGCAAGTGCGACTGCCAGGCAAGGGGTCTCGGGTTCGATTCCCGGGTCGGGCAAAGTACTACTGGGTTTTAAAAAAATTCTCAGTAGTAGCACGGAGTCTGGAATTGTGCCCGGTATATGGCAATAGGCTCACCCTCTATTACATGGGACTCATAACATAAATAGTGAAAAGTGGGTGTTACATTGTACAGTGGCTTAATGTGCACCTCTGCCAACCCCTTCGGGGATAATAGGCGTGATGTTATTTTATGTCATACCCTGTCATCATCAGTAATTTATGTTTTTTTCTAAGGGTCGTATAAACTATATAAGTCAAACTACGTCACTGTCCTTCGGCTTCATAAGTACCTGCTGACGTGAATTTTGTCTCTCCATCACACAAACAAATGTTACGCCATCAAATACCGGTTTCTATTGAGGCGTGAGCACCTACGTGATTATTGAAAGTGTAACGTCTGATTTCGATTATTTAGAGTCATATAGACCCGTACTGGTCCATTCACTGAGATTAACATTTTGCCTGATAAGTAACATAACATAACATCATAATGGCGTGAGCCTTTTATCCCTGAAGAGGTACGCAAAAACTCAGTAGTAGCACGGAGTTAGGAACTGTGCCCGGTATATGGCATTAGGCTCACCCCCTATTACTTGGGACTCATTACATAAAGAGTGAAAAGTAGGTGTTACATTGTACAGTGGCATTAAGTGCCGGAATGTGCACCTCTGCCTACACCTTCGGGGAAAACAGACGTGATGTTATGTTATGTGAATTAAAGAACTCTAAAAATAAAGGTAAAGCCAATAATTCTTGTGATCCTACCTTGAAAGACTACTAAGAAAAACAATATTTGTTCAACCGTAGTGTGTCATTATTTCTTCAATAAATAGTACTAATAATAACTATGTTGTCAAGACATATAATTATATTATACTAGCTTTAACCCGCGGCTTCGCTCGCGTCACAAAAGGATATAAAGCAGCCTATGTGGCATATACCAACACACACAGCGCCATCTATACCAATACTTTTATTTTCCCTCGGAAAAATGAAATTTTTCCGGGATAAACAGTACCCTATTATTTAATCCGGACTTCTAACTTTACGTCTGCAAAAATTCAAAGCAATCGGTTTAGTAGTTACGGCGTTAAAGCGGAACAAACAAACAAACAAACAAACTCACTTTTCCATTTATAATAGTAAGGAAGGATTATATTAATTTTTCCTTGACACTTGTAGCAGTCTAGGTAGTGCACGTCTATCATCATCAACTCATCTCAAAATAAGTAGCCACTGCTGACCAAAGGCCTCTTCTCACACGGAGAAGGTTTGACCATTAATCACCACGCTTGCTCAATGCGGGTTGGCGATTTCAAACTTATAATTAGAAATGATAAGTCCAGGTTTCCTGACGATGTTTTCCTTCACCGTTTGTCAGTGGTGTCTAAAAAATCTTAGAAAGTATATATACGTGGACTCATTTTAGAAGAAATAACATTCCATCACGCCTTTTATCCCCGAAGAGGTAGGCAGAGGTGCACATTATGCCACTGTACAATGTAACACCCACTTTTCACTATTTATGTTATGAGTCCTATGTAATAGAAGGCGAGCCTATCGTAGTGTAGATGTCGCGGAGAACCTAATGGGTTACCGGGGCTCCGGCTCAAAGTGCAGGAGTAGGAACGGAGTGGTTTTCAGTCAGTAAGAGTCTGACACTCCCGCCTCACCCAGGCGGGAGCAATCATTCTATGATCGCCTTAAAAAAACATCGTAGTGTAGATGTACAAATATAATACCTACTTTATAACTGTTAAATGCCTATAATTAGCTAACCATATTTACACAAAATAATAAGACCAATCACAAGAGCAACCTGCCATCTTTAGACACAATAATTGCATGTCATTTTACGCATATCAGATTGACACAAACTCTGCATCAATCATTGCATCTATACAGATAAATAAAATTGTATTGTCTGTTTGTAATATTAAAATAACCGCTTTTTACTACATGCATATGAATATACATACGATACCTATGCCAAAATAACACTTTTTACAATTTTTGCCTGTCTGTTTATTTGTACTAGCTAATCTCTGAAATAGCTGGACAGATTTTGACGGGACTTTTATTGGCAGGAAGCTGGTGTCTGTACATTTTTTAAGGGGGGAAAATCATCGAATGTCTGATCCCGCTTGGGTGAGACGGGAGGGATTGTCAGACTCTTACTGACTAAAAACCACCCCGTTCCTTCTCCTGCACGTCGAGCCGGAGCGCAGTAACCCATTAGGTTCTCAGCGACTGATGTATTATGTACATAGGCTACTTTTATTTAAAAAAATAAACTCAGACGAAGTTGCGGGTGCAGCTAGTCTATATGATGATCTGTAATTCTGCGAGCTATGTGGTGATTGTAGAGTAGTAGAGTAGAATATATTTGTCACTAGCTTCTGCCCGCGACTTCGTACGCGTAATCCTATTTTTTCCCGTCCCCGTTCGTGATTTTCGGATAAAGTAAAAAAAAAAATTGGTTAAAAAGTATCCTATGTCGGTCTCCTGACTCTAAGCTACCTCCCTACCAATTTTCAGCCAAATCTATTGGATCGTTCTTCAGTTATAAGTGGTGTAACTAACACGACTTTCTTTTACTATATATATAGATAGATTGTCACCATCCCTAGTCTTCTTGTGTGGAATACTTTATATCCCACGGGTACGCAGGCAAAGCCGCGGCTCGCGGGGTTAAAACCCTTCGAGGTTTAAAAGCGTACCATTAAGTTGCGTTAATTAATTATAATGTTGATATCATATTTAGCATTAGGCAATATGATTACGATTGTCGTGGTGGCCCGGAGGTTTAAGACGCTCTCATGCATGGGTATTAATTCGAAACCTACCAACGGCGAGTACCAATGTGACTTTTTCCGAGTTATATGTACTTTCTGAGATTATTTAGACACCACTGACAAACGGTGAAAGAAAACATCGTGAGGAAACCTGGGCTTATAATTTCTAATTATAAGTTTGAAATCGCCAACCCGCATTGAGCAAGCGTGGTGATAAATGCACAAACCTTCTCCGTGTGAGAAGAGGCCTTGCTCAGCAATGGGCATTTATAGGCTGTTGATGATGAATATGATTACAGAAATAAGGAAATGACTAACAGACATAAATCATATGAAGATGAACGAAACAATGGGACGATGACATCAGTCA